GGGGGGGGGGGGGGTTCGGGTATGTCCAGCTCTTTAAGCATGACATGCCTATTGCTGCGTCAGCTTTTCGTTTAAAATCCCCTCTAAACCCTAAACCGCATCTAGTTGCAGTCTATCCGTATCAGTAGGAGTCTTTTACATGCTATGGAGGTTGGGTTGGCAATGTACAGGTTCCGGGGTCAGGTAGGGTTTAGGGTTTAGGGAAGTACACTTCAGTTGCTGTTTAGGGTTCAGGCGTTTCTGAATTAGTTTGCGTAGCAGGAGCCTGCCATACCAAATGAACAGGTGCCACGGGAGCCCCTGATCTAAAGCAAGCGCCTATGTGCCTTAAGCCCTACATCATGAACACTATAAACCCCAAAACCTAAACCCTATATCCTGAACACTGCGCCCTAGGTAGCATTCTCTGGATGTGAGCCAAGGGGCCCAAAAGTCGAAATTTCTGGACTTTCGACATTTCTGGAACAAACTCTTCGACCCAGGGCTTTGACTTCGTTAGGGTTTAGGGTTCAGGGGTTTAGGGGTTTCAGGTTTTGGGTTTAGACCCTAAACCCTAAACCCTAAACCCCGGTTTAGGGTTCAGGGGTTTAGGGGTTTCGGGTTTTGGGTTTAGAGTTGAGGTTAGGCTTCGGGTTTGAGGTGCACAGACCCGAAGTAACACCCACAGCCAAGGACTCCAACGGTTTAGGGTTTAGGGTTTAGGGTTTAGGGTTTAGGGGGTCCAGGCAGATTCCTCCAAAGCCCTATGCCCTCAACCCCCGAACCGCCACCCGTCATCCCAGGCCGTCTCAGGAATGCCGTTCTCTGCCTCCGGAGGTTCGGATTTTAGTAGGTTGCGGTTTCAGCAGGGCTTAGGCATAATATAGAAGCCTAATTAACTACCAAGATTATTTGGGATCTCCTTAGCATAATTATACTATAAAGGAGCCCAAAACCCTATTCTAATTATTAAGGCCGCTACAGTCGGGTTAACGGTTCAGGGTTGTTTTGGAATTGAAGGATCTCGAGATCCCACGTAGCGCATCATGTCTTCCTTGCAACGGCATTCGGGGTTGCCGGAGACACCGAGAACCCTTGACGGAAGGGTTGGGTTGTCGAAATTGTGGGTGGTGGGTCTGGAAGACTGCTGCTCCCACGGGCCTCGAGGTTGTGGTTCTAAGATTGGAGACTGGGTCTAGGGGTTTAGTTAGGGTCCAGGGGTTTTTGGGGTTTAGGGTTGAGGGGGGGGCTTAGGGGTTTTAGGGTTTAGCCTTCTTAAACCTACTATACGACCGAAACTCATAGTTCCAAGATGATAGAACGTTCGGAACTCGGTGCGTTGCCATAGTCGCGCTTCAACAACCCTCGAGAGTCTGAACCGAAGGCCTTCTCGCAGTAGTTTCTGTTTAAGTTACCATCATAGAGGTCTATGGTGAATATTATGGTTCCTACACCCCAAATCCGATATCCTAGTCCCTCAATTTCCATATAGGTAGTTTCTAGATTAGGGTGCCTTTTAGGGTCCTTGTTAGAAGGGTGCCGTACTATATTGAGGACCTAACACGGAGCCCTACCCATATTATGGTAACTTCAGTCCGCCCCTAACCCTAAACCCTAAACCCAAAGACGGCCTTGCCGGGCTTCCTCTCCGAAACAGCTGCTGCGGTACTCTAGGGTCAAGGGTCTAGGGTTTCAGGGTTTTAAGGTCTGGGGTTAAGGGGTTTAAGGGTTTTTTGGGGCTTTTAAGGTGTGGAATTACGGGTTTTAGGGTATTCTTGGGCTTTAGGGCTTAAGGCGTTTAGGGTTTAAACCCTAAACCCTAAACCCTAAACCCTAAACCCTAAACCCCAAACCGGTTTAGGACCTTTAGGGTGTTGGGTTTTGGGGCCATTCAGGGTTGCAAGGAAGTTCAGGGCTCCAAGCGCTGCCCTAAGCCCTGTGTCCTTGGTTTTGAGTCGGATTGTAGGGTTTAGGGTTTAGGGTTTAGGGTTTAGGGTTTAGGGCTTAGGGTTTAGGGTTTAGGGTTTAGGGTTTAGGGCTTAGGGCTTTGGGTTTAGGCTTAGTTCTGAGTCGGATTTTGTTGAGGCAGCGAGCTTGCGTTTCTGGACATACAATGGCAGCAAACCTCCCAAAAGAGCACTGCCAGCCACTAGCGGGGAGCTCAGCAGGTCGTCATGGGGGGGGTGCTTTGGGGATTGAAATTAGGGTTTGGGGTTTAGGGTTTAGGGTTTAGGATGCACTTCTTGCAGTGTGTTTAAGTTTAGGTTTCATGCTTAGCTACCCTATTTCCTGAGTTGCAGTGGTGGACATAAGCCCTGGGAGCACAGTTAGCTATGTCGACGTCTGTCTCGTAACCCTAAACCCTAAACCCCAAACCTGAACACTACGCCAGGATGTGGGACGACCCCAGTCCCCCACGCCAGTTGACATGTAGCGGCAAGATACCCTAAACCCTAAATCCTAAACCCTAAACCCTAAACCCTAAACCCTAAACCCTAAACCCTAAAACCTAAACCCTAAACCCTAAACCCTAAATCCTAAACCCTGAAAGCCTAAGTTGTCAGGGACTCCAGGACCGTCATCTAGGGGTGGCTTGTTGAGGATCCGTTTTAAGATTGAAGGTATACATGTTTGGTGCTGCGCTACGTGGTGTTCGTCTCACATGAACACGGCCGTGGTGTGATGATGATGATAATTACATGCTTTTCAGGGTTTGAGACTGGGGTTTGGGGGTTTCTGAGAGTCTCTGGGCTAATGGGTGCTTTTGTTTCATGCAGTAGATAGATGGTTTTGCGTGAAAACGAGCTCATGTGGTTCACCGCTCAAAGCCCAGCAACAAGAACAACAACTCCTGAAACCCAGTCTCTCAGGCTTAGGGTTTAGGGTCTAAACCCCAAGTACCTTTTCCCTGAAGTCCCTCCCCTGCCCCCAAAATCGAACTCTAGCCCTCCCCGTCTGCTGAGGTGGGCCCGCCCGACCATTGGACGTCAAAGAAAGAGAGCGACAAACATAATAAAGTTGAATGGAGGGAAGCAGGGTTGAAAGTCGTTACCCTAGAACCTAAACCTTCAACCCTGAACCCTAAACCGTTAATTTGCGGCTTTATGGGTTTCGGGCTTCAGGGTTGGAGGTTCGGGGTTTTGGGCCCCTAGACCCTGAACTCTAAACCTTTTTGGAGTCGAGTGTAGGGGCCTAAATAACGACCAATACTATTTTCGGGGTTCCTTATTATAATTGCATTGTACCCTAAACCCTAAACCCTAAACTCTAAACCCTAAACCCTAAACCCTAAACCCAAAACCCTATTCTAAGTATTAAGGCCCCCCTATTAGAGTTCCCTTGTCTTGTGGACTTCCCGAGTTGTTCTAAACCCTACACCCGAAACCCGAAACCCTAAACCCTACAAACCCTGAAGATCCTCTCTCAAGGTTTCAGGGCTTGGAGTTTTCGCGTTTAGAGTTTAGGATTTTAGGGTTTTGGGTTCAGGGTTTTGGGTTTTGGGTTTAGGCTTTAGGGTTTCGGTTTTTTGCTCACCAGGACTTAGGAGAGGCAAGAGCTAGAGATTTGTTGGGCCGCAGTGGGGGTGATGGTGGGTTCTTCGAGTATTCAGCCAGGGATCAACTTTAGCCACGCACCGAATGTTGCGAGTATTGATCGAAAATAAAGTTGGCAAGCATATTGGCAGAACACGAGTAAAGGTAGTCAAACACCTCCAGTCTGCATTGAAGAGAGAACACGAAGAGTCATATTTAAAGGTGTGCTGATCATAACGCGGACAACAACTCTGAACCTATAACCACAGCAAACGGGCAGCAGTACAAACACTATTCACTTCTGACCAAGATCACCGAACATCACATGCGGCCCGGTATGATACGTGTTCGTGTATATAGATGCAGACAAGTACAATCATTCCTCATTTCTTTAAGATTCGAATATAATTTTATTCATTCATATCGATATGGCCGAATTGGTTTTCTACAAGATCCAGATAGATATTGATATTATATTGGATCGCTATAAAAATCTGACAATATTTAATTTTATTCAGAAATTCTAAGATGAAAATAAAAGGACTTTATTAAATAACAAAGTTTCGAGATAATATCAAAAGAAATTAAACATTCTTCTATTTCGCTAATTTGGGATATTATTAGCAAGGTATATTTTCTCGATATTTCATGAAATATTTTATTTATTTTGAATTATGAAAGGTATGGGAAAATCTCTTAGCTCTAAAATTAATAGGAAGATTATCGATAGAAGACGATTCTAAAATTAAAGAATATTCTTTATAAATTCATTTTCTAAGATTAATAATTCTTTATTTATTCTTTTCAAATTATTCATCTATTTATTATTATATTTTTGATAATTTCTAGATTATTTAAGAAAAATAATTTCTGAGATAAATATGAAATTAATATTCAAATATATAATTTAGAATGAAATTTATATGATTCCGAATATTTAAAAAGAATCCGAAATCTTTAAATTAATGATATTAAATAATTATTTCTGATATGAGATTTAGGTCGAATTTGAGAAAAATCTAAATAATCTGAATTTTTCGAATATATCTATATATTCATTTAAATTTAATTTTAGATTATAAATCTTTAAAATTGATAAATAAAAAAATATATATATATATTCGATTAGAAAGAAATCGATTTTTGATTTTATTCTGATATATTGATAATTAAATAATTCAAAATTCTATTTAAAATAAGAGAATTACGAATTATAAAAATTAGGAGAATTATTAATATTTGAGCGCAAATAATTTGAATAAAAATAATATTCTATTCACTAAATATGATAATATTTTATTTAAAGAAATTAGTTTGTAATGCTGCTCGAGTCGGATCTCTGCTTCGTTCTTTATTATTATTTGGCTTAATGCTTGAAATTCTTGAATTTTTATAGAGAGGAGAATTATGGTCAGCTCTCGCTTGGTCTGGTTCTTATTATAATTATCGTCGTCGTTGTTAGGGTTATTCTTACTGGTACTAGTGCGACCCTTATTAAATTTTATCTTTTTCTTTGGACGGCCTAGATATGATATTGATAAATCTAGAGAATTATTTTAGGCGAGGCTCTGAATCCAGGAATATATTTTACGAGACCAATAAGAAAAATAATTGGGAGGCTTCCGTGCCGTTATTTGTAGCGCTTATTCCATTAGAGGAAGAAAAGGATGGATTGAAGACTGCATATAGGATGCCTGAGCCCGCAAAATGATTCCAAATCTGAAAGATTGCTGAAGCGTCGCCCCAGAAGCCGCGGGGGACGGTCAAATCCTATACGATCCAAATTTAAATATAATTCATAATAATCTTTATAGATTTTTTCCTTTCGCGAATCTATTATAGATATTCTATTTCCCATACTATACCAGCGAAGACCGCAAACAACAATAAAAAATCAAGATATTGAATGAATTTCAATCAAATTCGAAATAATATCACTTTGCATAGAACGGAGACAATACTTTAGGATTGCAGATTGAGATTCAGGATTAGGACCTTAGGACCTGGAATCAAATCTCCGGCGAGACGTGTCACAACATCCGGCTCCCAGATTCAGATAGTGTGGAGATAACAGTGGAGACAACAAATAGAATTTAGATTATAAGGGAGATAAATCCGGCTAGTCCCCGGCGAAATATGTCGCCAATATCCGGCTCCCAGACTCAGACAGAGCGGAGATAACAATTTAAATTGAAATTATATAACGAGATAAAGCCGGCTCCCTCGGCGAGGCGCGTCACACTATCCGACTCCCAGATTCAGATAGAGCGGAGATAAAATTATAAAATGAGATTAAGAAGGGAGATAAATCAAATCCGACTAGTCTCCGGCGAGGCGCGTCATATTATCCGACTCCCAATCATAGATAGAGCGGAGATAATAATGGAGATATCAATTTAAATTAAAATTATAAAAAGAAATAAAGAGGTGCGTCGCAATATCCGACTCCCAGATTCAAATGGAGCGGAGATAATAATAAAGATAAGAATTTAAATTGAGATTCTGAAAGGAGATAAAGCCGACTAGTCCCCGGCGAATTAAATCCAGCATCCGGCTCCCAGACTCAGATAGAGCAGAGATAATAGCGGCAAGATCAAATTAAAAAAGAGATTATGAAGCCAGATAAATCCGATTAATTCCTGGCGAGGCGCGTCGCAATATCCGGCTCCCAGATTCAGATAGAGTGGAGATAATAGTGGAAGTAACAGATTAAATTGAGATTATGAAGGGAGATAAATCGGCTAGTCCCCGGCGAATAGTATCCGTCTCCCAGATTCAACTAGATCGGAGATATCAATACAGTCACGAATTTAAATTGAGATTAGTAAGGGAGGCAAATCCGGCTAATCTCCGAGGAGGGATGTCCCAATATCGGATTCCCAGACTCAGATAGAGCGGAGGCAACTACAGAGATAATAGTTTAAATTGAAATTATGAAGGGAAATAAATACGACTAATCCCCGACGAGGCATATTATAATATCCGGCTCCCAGACTCAGACAGAGCAGAGATAATGAATTAAATTGAAATTATGATGGAAGATAAATCCGGCCAATCTCCGGCGAGGCGCTCGCAATATCTGATTCCCTCGCTCAGATAGAGCGGAGATAACTATGGAGATAGAAATAAATCCGACTAGTCCCCGGCTATCCGGCTCCCAGATTCAGATAGAGCAGAGATAATAAATTAAATTAAAAGAATGATCCGAATCAAATCCGGTTAGTCCCCGGCGAAGCGCTCGCATCATCTAGCTCCTTGATTCAGATAGAGCGGAGATATTATCGGAGATAATATGAAGCGTATCTTAGTATCCGACTCCTCCCAGATTCAGATAGAGCGGAGACAAGATTATAAAATGAGATTAGGAAGGGAGATAAATCAAATCCGGCTAGTCTCCGGCGAGGCGCATTTCAATATCCGGCTCCCAGATTCAGATAGAACGGAGATAATAATTTGAATTAAAATTATTAAGGCATATAAATCCGACTAGTCTCCGACGAGGCGTATCATAATAGCCGACTCCCACTCCGTTAGAACGGAGATAATAATGCAGACAATAATTTAAATTGATATCATGAAGGGAGACAAATCCGGGTAGTCTCCGGCGAGTAATATCCAGTCCTCAGATTCAAATAGAGCGGAAATAATAACAAATTCAATAGTTTAAATTGAGACTATGCAAAAAAATAAATCCGGCTAATCTACGGCGAAGCGAATCCCAATATCCGATTCCCAGACTCAGATAGAGCGGAGAAAATAATTTAAATTGAAATTATGAAAAGAAATAAATCAAATTAATTTACGACGAAGCATATTATAAATCTAATCCCAATATTCAATTAGAGCAGAAATAATAAAAAAGATAAAATTATAATAGAATCAAATCTAACTATTCTCCAATAAAATATATATACCATCTTATATTTCTTTTAAATTAAGAAATCCAATACTTCACTATTTAGAGAATTAAAATCATTATATACTAAAAATAGAAATCTTCGCATCAATAATTATTTATCTAAAAATAATTCATATCAATATATATACATATTATTAAAAAATTCAAAAATAATATAGACAAAAATTTAAAATTTCTTCATATATTCCTTATAATTATATATATATAGAAAGTATTTCGATTTCGAGTAAATTATTGAGATTTGAAATATAAATAATAAATCTATATAGAAAAATCAATAATTAAATTCTCCCTCGCAATCCATAAAATTATATTAAATAAAATAAGAAGACTCGCAAAACTCGTTCGATTAAAATACAGAATAATATCAGAATATTTACTAAATAAAAAACCTAGAATTAACTACTAATAATATCTATCTCAAATAATAATAAGATCAAAATTAGTACTTTTTTAAAAATATAAGAATTTTTGAACAAATCATCAAAAAGAAAGAGTAGAAATAATAATATTAATGAAATCGTGTCCATATAATAAGAATTATAATAATAATAATAATAATACCTGCTACGATCTGCCAATATCTGTTTTTTTCTTCGTATGCCTCGCTGCAAAAGCATTGCAATGTATTGGTTGAAATTTTAGGCCACCTTGGGCTGCTTCAAGCAGAACGAAGCAGAACAGCTTAACTCAAGGGCTCACAACAAGCCATGAGGATGCATTCTTTCATGGCACTAGGCAACAGAAATGTCGATCACTCCTTTGGAACAAAGACTTCTTCGATCAACCATGACACACCATAAAATCCTGCACTCCCCGGTGTAGCTTCAGGCGACGGCTTCGCCGTCGAACGAAGCAGCCATCTCAAAATCATTCAGATTGTCACTGCTTGGCTAGGGAACACCAAAGCAGACATCAACAAGGAGGAGACCAACATTCGCCTACAGCGAAGCTTGTTCAAGCAAGAATTCTCTATAGGAATCGTAAGCATTTGCGCTTTGCTTGAGGATCTTGAGAAGAATCTTGCTTTCACCTTCCTCGTTGAACTCCATACCGGTATCACTGCGAAGTTTGAGAAAGCGACCGATCATGCCCTCGTGTCTTCTCTCGAGCTTGATGTAGCGTCCCACTTCGAGTTGCAAACCCGTAAGCTTGTCGTGGAACACGATTGAAGGCCCGAGGACTACAGGTTCCGGCAGACCCAGCGCATCCTTGCGGTTGTCGACAAACTCAACATGCCGCATGCGATAGTCACTCTTTGCGAAGGTGAATTTTTTTGACAATCTCGGGATTTGCAAGAGCACTTGGGCTTTTCAGATACCCTTGCATCTTGAGTGTGCAAACGCGCGCCCAAAGCGCACTTCGCAGGTGCAGAAACAAGTGAGCATGGCCTGCTTCAAATTTTCCCTTCCTGCTTGAGAGGTCAACACACAGAGTCTCAATGACAGCAAGTAAGAGGTCATCAGCCTGATCCACCTTCCGCTGTTTACCCGTTACATCTGGAGTGTCTGCTATCTCAGCTATCAGCGAGAAAGCGGTCCCCAACTGAGACTCGATTTGTTTCCTTTCATGCTCTTACATGCACTTCTTCATGGCATCTGTCAAGCTGTTGGGATTGCAGTACTTGGCAGCAATCTTGACCAGTTGAACAACCAAAGTCAAAGGATCTCCCATGAGTACGCTGCAGCCAAGCCCACCTGCATCCAGCGCGGCCTCCAGCCACTCACTGAGCCCCGCGTCGTCCTCCTTCAACTTGTCCAACTGAAGCCTGGCTTGATCCAGAGCCTTGGACGCCCAGCGGAGGCCTGACCCCAAGTTGAAGATGTCCGCTTGCGAGCCATCCTTGATCGGCTCACGCGCCACATGCTGGAAGTACTTGATGACTACACGGCGTTCCTCGGCCCGCTCCTCCGAGCTTTTCGAGGCTCCGGAGCCCATCTCTCAGGCACTATGGACTGCTCTGGCTTGATCCACAAGCATGTCTTGCGAAGGCAATGCAATCCAGCCAACTCTGCGCATAACACAGTTCGAAGCACTGATCCCGGCACAAAGTAATATCTTTTCAATCAAGTTCAATCTTCTTGGTATATATATATATATATCAAGCAGCTCAAGGGTTAAGTAAGCCTTGCCCATAGCTGCCAATATAAGGATCGAATATTCTGTCCGAGCGCATTTTTTTTGCAGAAGCAAAGAAGCACCAGCTCCGGGTCACGTCATTAGCAGAGCGAACCGCTTGCAAAAGAGAGAGCAGTTTCTGCCTACGGAGCAGTCCTGAGCTGAATCCCTAAACTCTTTGAACCGTAAATCCTATACCCCAAGCCCTAAACCCTAAACCCTAAAGCGGTGAGCTTCAGCCGGCAGACACCCAATTTCGCACATCCATGGTGTCCTGGGCTGGGTCAACACGGTTTAGGGTTTAGGGTTATTTAGGCTTTAGGGTTCACCGCATTCTCCGCACGGTCTCAGCCGTTGGCATCCGTCTCAGCATCGCAACACCACCCCGCTGCACGCTACCCAACCTGGCCCGCCAACGGACTGAAGTCGACCTTTACTGTGATCATCATCAACAACAACGTCATCATCACATCATCACATCATCACATCATCATCATCATCATCATCATCATCATCATCAGGGTCACTGTCATTCTGCTTGGAGCTTTCCGACTACCCTAGCTGCGGACGTGATGACTTCCCCTGTGATGTTTCATAGACCGATTAAGTAAGTTGACTGACGAAGCATCTATTATGTTAAGGCTTTAGCACACTTGAATTTTGAATTCGGCTTGGAGAAAGAACAAATCACAAGAATGGCGGCGATACCGTGCATGAGACCCCCCCTTAAAGACCAACAAAAAACTGCATGGCATTGCATGCCTCGAATCAGGGCACAATCCTAAATCCTAAACCCTAAACCCTAAACCCTAACTAAGGCTCAGGCCACAGTGTGTGGCTGGCGAGGCCAGGTGTACACCTAAGAACAGCTGTGCTCGTGGTCCAGGTTTAGGGTTTAGGGTTCAGGGTTTAGGGTTTGGAAGCCCAAACCCTGAACCACCCAATCCTAGTTCATGGTTGGGATAGTATTAAGCATAAAAAGCTCCTATTCCATATTGGGTTGAGTACCCATAAAAATTTGTAATGTTACCCAAGAATGACAAAGAATCCCCAAACCGTATCGGCTATGTCGCCTGACATGCGTTGCACGGTGCTGCAACAGGGGATTGAGTTCTTCTTTAAGAGATTGATGGCAGAAGGGATGCTTAACGGAGATGGAACCTTCATGGCAGTATTGCTTGGCTTACTGTGGCCAGTTGAATTACTTGCAATGTGAACCCTAAGCCCTAAACCCTAAACCCAACACCCTAAACCCCCTAAACCCTAAATCCAACACCCTAAACCCTGAACCCATTAAAACTCGGGCCAAAAGTACAAGCAGTGCAGTGGTACTCGGAGAAAGCAACCAGGGAACCCTGGAGGCCTACACCTCAAAAGGGATTAGGGTTTTAGGGTTCAGCGGTTTAGGGGCTTAGGGGTGTAGGGTTTAGGGGTTCAGAGTTTAGGGGCTTAGGGTTTAGGGTTTAGGGGTTCGGGGGTTTAGGGGCTGAGGGTTTAGGGGTTTAGGGGTTTAAGGGTTCAGGGTTCATGGGTTTGGGGCTTAGGGCTTAAACCCTAAGATCTGGAGGAACTCCGCTTGAATCTGACTTGAAATCGGCACAGTGGCAGGCTTGTCCCCATGGGGCTGTACGGACAAGGTGGCAGCGGGGCCTGTCGACCGAGATGCCTGCAAAGAGCAATTCCAGGGCAGGCTAGGCTTAAGAATGAAAACAACGAGACAGCGATGGCAGTGCTGGTGGTAGTGAGGTAGTGGTAGTCGTGTCAGGTACCAGGCAGTTGTGGGTGTGGGTTGGTGATTTGGAGTTCTTGCTAACCGAACTTTTTCTGAGTGGTTCGCCCGATGCCGCCGCACTCCGGCACTGACGCTTTAACCACTTTGACTTAGTTTTGCACGTACATTCATAGAACTTAGCTCGCCCGACTTGGCGCAGACGAGCAGTGACAGGTTGTGCAAACAACTTCGCCTGCTTTGCTGTGTCCCACCAGTGACAAAGTAGTCGTCATGGTAGTAGAAATTGTGCCAGTGGCATGCGGTACTGGTAGTGGTCGTAGTATAGTAGTAGTAGTAGTAGTAGTAGTAGTAGTAGTAGTAGGAGTAGTAGTAGTCGTAGTAGTCGTAGTAGTAGTGGTAGTAGTAGTAGTAGTAGTAGTAGTAGTAGTAGTAGTAGTAGTCGTAGTAGTAGTGGTAGTAGTAGTAGTAGTAGTAGTAGTAGTAGTAGTAGCAATTAGTAGTCGTGTC